CTAGGAGCAAAGGGCATCGCTACTAGGAGCAAGAAGCTACTAGGAGCGAAACCCTCCAAAACGTGGCCCTGGCCATCCGGGCCCAGCGGCCGTCCGTCGGAGCATGCGCACCATCGCGGCACCCCGCTCTGAGGCGGAGACCTAAAAGCGCGGGGTGGGGTGGGAGACCACGCGTCGACCGGAGAGAAGGAGGATGCAATGACGGATCTAGAGTGACCCTTTGCGGGATCATGGTATATGAACATGACTCATCTATATTGGTCTAGTAGCTTGCTTGATCTAGAGTCATCGAGTCATGGAGTCGTATATTGTCTATAACAATACCAGTACTGTAGATTGGAAATCAGAGCGTTTGATATGAATACAATCCTCACATCACCCCAAGTAATGGTGGAAGTGTAGAAGGGTATACGGTATACAGTATAATGAAGGGTATCACCACAAAACACTACCCAGCACATCCTCCAACTGATGCTGATGCCTACCCTGCCCTATCCGTGTTTCAGATCGCCAAGCCAGCACAAGCACAGGACTGCCAGGACTACTGGTAAAGGAAAATGATCTAAATGCACCCGTCCCCTGACCAATCAAACAGTTTAAAGTTTATGCACCTCACCATCCTAACGGCTTGAAATCTGACCTGGGGAGACTATTTTAAAAGGACTTGGATGGAATTCCATGGAATTCCTGTCTGGCAGGATTTCGTCCAACAAAAAGCCATCTTGTCTTGTCAATCAACTGACCTCAAAAACGCCATGCCTCATCGTCAAGGACCGAAATGCCGCTCTGCCTGACGAGCTGGGAGGTGCCACCCCGGGGTGGCCGTGATGAGAGCCATATTGCCAACTGGAACGCAACACAGCAACCCAGCTGGTGTGCTTTGACCAGAGGGATACCGAAACATGGTCCAAATCACTTGAAGGATCTTGAAGGTATGGTCCATTCTGCAGCATCGAATTTCATAATCTTCGCGAAGCCGGGCAAGTGCTGTGTCGGCAAGACTGGGCAAACTCTTGCGGACAAAGGCGACTGTTTCTAGGTTCAGCAAGTAGTTGTGGCCAGTCTGCTCCAAGAGACAAACGTAGGTATGACTTTTCAGGGAACGTGCATGCTTGATGTGTGGCTGGACCCCACACATCCTGGTCTGGTTGCTCTCTTCCACCCTATTTCGCCTGTGTACATAACATATCAAGAAGGTTTTCTTGCGTTAAAATGAGCACGCCTACTATATGACCACTTCCGCTCCTTCTGCTGCACAACCCATACAGGCGTAGTCCCGTCAAACTGGGTGGGTCATGACCATGTTACAGTAGCAAACCCATACCAAGTGGATCGCGTGATCTCTCTGGATAGCTTTTGCTCGATTGCAGGCCTTCTCCGCTTCAGTGTCCACACCTATAACTGCACAAAACCTGCACACGATTATGTTTTACGGTGGCTTCTTCTACATGTACTCGGAAACATCCAGAAAACACCTTTCATAACAGGTCATCTTCACGCACGTGTCTACCCTTTTCGACCTGTCTTCGACCTGTCGCTCACGACCGGAACTCTGGTCTTCGCCTAGCGAGGTCATCGTCCAAATCCTCGAAACACATGTGGCCGAGTGGCCGACCGAATCTTCAAATCCATCAGTTGAACTCTGGTGAATTCTGCTTGGACTGATTCTTGGGGTGGGGGGGAAGTGTCCAACATCTAAAGGCCTAATTGGGTAGTGCAAGAATGTGCAACAAGGATGCTACTACAGGCTCCTGGCATCGCTACTAGGAACAAGAAGCTAATAGAAACAAGAATTCAATAAATGTGCAAGATATCATTTGGATTCAACTGGTCAATACAAGTGTCCAGTCCATCGATTGATTGATGTCATTGATGTCCCATACATTTGCCTGCGAATCTATGGGATTAATGGTTATATATAATGAATGTTGTGCTAATGATGACATGCACTTGTGGTTGACACTGCACTGAAACAGATCGAAACACCAAGGAACTTGCTGCTGTTGTCCTGTTCAATTGAGATGTAATGGGATTTGTGATTTGTACTAAGAGTGAGTTGAAAGGGGCATCACTGCACAATGCGGCATCATGGACAAGAGTAGGCGCCGCCCTTTGATTAACTGCCACAAACTGCCAGGGACCGTGGTCTGTGTCTTCCATGAGACTCAACCATCTCGCTGCAAAGGAGAGGCACCCGATCTTCCAATCAACCCAAGAAACACGACACGTCCGACGCGGTTCTTCGAGTGAAACATATGCGTCCTCCATGGAGTGAAAACCGAAGGAGGCCGTCCACCTGAACCCACTCTCGACATCGGCCCAGGCTTGCCCCTCTCAGAAAGCTTAGATTACGCCAAAAAACATTTGGGAGCCCCAGAATTCCCAAATCATCCATGTATGGAATAGCTCTATAGATTTCACGCATCCAAAAGGGCCCCAATGTGAGGAACTGTGCCAGTACCATGGATGGTCTGGGATTCGACATGGCATGTGACAGGCCACAGGAACTGGCCTCCCACAAATGTTCTCCAAACATCCTGGTCATGCTCGAAACTGGACATGTTTGGAGGTAACGCTTTGGAAACGTCTTGACCTGCCACATTGACTTCGATAGAGCAGCTCTTTCGCTGCATCTGGGTTGGTGTGCTGCGGTGTGCTCTACCACTTGGGGCTGTCGGCGACCGAGCAGTTCTCACATGCCGACATCCCGGCCGAACAGCATGGGCAACTTGCGGTGTCAACTGGTGTAGGAAATGAAGCCTTTTCTCGCTGGAAAACAAACAGCTTGCTTTCCTATATAGCCTATGGGTATTGTTCGTACTGTTGAGGGACATAGCCAACCCTCAGGGTTCATACTGTGAAAGGTACGTATGAGAAACGGCATCAGACCTTGGTCATGCTGGAGTTTGTCCCGCCTACGATTTCTGTGTATTACATATACATGTTCAAACAATCAAGCAAACTGTAGAGTCATAAAACTGCCCCACCAGAATGGTTTTGCATCTCCATGCCGATGTTTTGTACGAATCATCAGTCTACACTATTGCATACAACAACATTCGTTTAGAGTTATTGTCACCTCTGTCAGTATGGGCACTGTGTATATACAGCTCTCGTAGAATTGATTTGCGAGTTGGTGTCGAGATCAGTTTATGGACCAGGGTTCTTGCCGAACATAGTCATGCGGAGTTGTGCTCCCCCAAGTCCAATCATTCCAAGCAATCCACAAATCAGCAACAAGGGATGATTATAGATTTTGTAATCCATCATATTATATGGTTGGATATGCGAAGCCTTGCTGAATTGACACGGGCCCAAACCAAGCTGTTTGCTGCATCGAAACCATGTCACCAAGCACCCGAGCTCTTGGTTGGTCCGCTCCAGCCTGGCATGCCGGGCGTGCCGCCCGGGAAAGTGCTGCACCTCTGATTGACTCATCCACCACATGGGGCATGATCTTGACTCACCATCTCAAGGTGGCACCAACCATGAGACATGGTGCTTCTGTTTATAGAGAAGATTTGGTTGTTGGGGTTTCGGTTTGCGCCATTTGGTTGCTTGTTGTGTTTATATGTCGTTTTATGATGTTTTTATTTGTAGTTCGGGTTTGCGCCATTTGCTTTCCAAACTGCAGAAACTGTTCGTGGAAGCAAATGCCATACTTGACAAAATGCCCTTTTCTAACAACTTGACGTCCTCTGTGAATACTAGTAAAATCATGCGCCACCTGAAACACTGAGATCCACTGGTATACAGAATCCTAGGTCTGCCTCGTGGATCGCATGTTATGCAATCCACAGTGATCTACCCCAGCTGGCAACTCCACTCAACGTATTCTGGTTCGAATGCATTCTTTGGCAGGTCTTCCTTCTTCACACTAAGTCTTAAGTTGCTACACACCCAGATCCTCGAAGATCGGATTCCACTTCAAAAATGCCCATCCCGAGCTCCCCAACATACTGGTTTGCTTCTCGAGTGCTTGCACCGCGCGCAACTGCGCCGGCGTCGCTCCCTCGGTGGCGCGACGAAAGTAGAGGACAAAGGTGGTCACTGGTTCCGGCCTGTGTCGATATAGAAACATTAGAATCAAATGTCACTCCAACTCAATATCAAAACAGGTTCAAAACGTGTTCCACTTGTTCAGTTTCAGGGACTTCACTTGGACAAGTAACAGTTTGCACCGAAACCGGCTTAAACACCTGAATTCAGACATGTCTATCGCCGCTGCGACCTGTTATTAATATGTTGTTTTTATGTTTGTTTATTTATTTATTTATATTTTTTCAGATGGCTTAAAAGGAGTTTTGATGTTCACTGGGGGAGACCAGGGCTTCCAACGAGCCAATGGATGGTCTTGCTGTTGTTTTGGGGACACAAACACTTGGATGGAAGCTCAAAATTGTTCACACGAATCCCATCGAATCCCAAGTGTTTAGCAGTTTAGCCAACATGGATATTTACATATCAAGCAATATCAGCCAAGCAGCTTTTCGGTGGCACCCTGGTTTTGAGGCCATGTGATATCTTAACGCCATGAGTCTCACCCCGCCAAAGAAGACCATCACCTCCCTGGATCCTGAGCCACCGCACCAGCACGGCGTTGCGGCCTCGTTTGGCGTGGACCCGCTAGGATCGATAGGGCGTCCAGTAAAAGCGCATGTTTATTTTTAGTTCAAGATACAGATGTATTATGGTGTATTTCTAGTTTCACGACTGACGTTCCTTTTATGGATCTCCAAATATGATATCTGATGATATCTGTAATCGGGAGATAGATCCGATTTGCTCGCTTATGCTCTTGGTTCTGTATCTGGATAACACAGCTCTTGGCAGCAAGTGAAACCAAAAAAACAAGTACATAGCATGTCAACTCAGCCCGCTTGCTTCCAAGCTTCATTGCCATATTGCAAAACAAATCGAACCCACGTGTTCAGCATTCCTGAACATAGCCAACAGCTTTCGGAAAAACCTCGCCGAAGCTGCAAACATCAACTCCATTGACTAAAGCCCTGGAGACCCGAGACCCTCTCGGTTTGCCACGTCGACCCGAAGACCCGAAGGCCCCGCCATGAATCCATGGCGGCGGTGTGAAAAAGAGATTGATCTCAAATATCTCAATTTGCAGGTCACAAAGTCTAAAGATCTATACCAGGAGCCCCTAGTAGCTTCTTGCTCCTAGCTCACCCACTAGATCACTTCTGCCCCTGAAGTTCTGGAGATCACCCGATCCGATCGGCCGATCCGCCCTCGACCCGCTGCGCCAAGTCGATTCGCTCGCACCTGTGCTCAGAGTGCGGTGTGCGTCATCAAGCCGTCTGACCTGGCGGAGTCGGTCGCAACAGCAACGATTGAATTGTAAGGGGACAAAACATGTCATGACAAAAACATACAAAAAACGAAGCGAAAACAACATAAACTATATACTAAAAATCAACAAACCAATGAATAAACATGAATAAACAATGGAAACCTATATGGGAAACCAATATGGACAGAAACAGTATCGCCGCTGTACTGAGATTATCGATCTTGAAGATGGCCTTTGGGTGGGCAAAACTATCCAAAACTGGTCACCATGTCACACCCCTTTGCAGCTAAGCACAAAGCCATTGCCAATCTGCGTGGAAAAACACATGAAAACAGTGCAATGCCAGCCTTCGATAAAAGGGGCCAACCTTGATCCCACAAGGAAAGCCCACTCATTGTCGGGCAAAAGCATGGGAAAGGAAGGTGTGGCCGGGGCTTAGGCCTCCATGCGATGTCTTCATCTGTCCAGGATGGGTAGTTGTGCAGCAGGAGCAAGTGCTTGTGGGAGAATCGCATTAGGTGCTTTGGAGCACCTGTGAGGGCAAATTGCCGCTGGGCTTGGCTGGCTTTTCTAGGGCTCCAACCGCACCCTGCCACCCACCCCAACCACCTTCTCACCAAATAGTTGGAGCCCGGCTTTGCACTGCCATTTGGGCATGTTGCCCTTTGGCACGGTGGACGCTGTCCCAGCTTCAAGTATCGGTGCCCATCCCGCTTGGCGCTGCACGGTCAGGCCACTGTCAGCCAGACAAGCCTAGCCCTTCACCAACATCCGTTGTAGAGCTGATCGGTGACCCCTTGGATGGTTCGCAAGCTCCACATTGATGCATTGGCCTTGGCCTTATCCGGTAATTGCATCCACGTCTTGGCCTTGGCCTTGGCCTAGCCCGAGCGGTCTCCATCTGCCAAGCCTCCAAATAACATCAAATAAGTAAGTCCATCCTGCCTTGGCTCTCACTGCAGTGGTCGTTGCTTTAGTCGACTTTCTTTTGTTTGGCCTGATCCGGGCCCTGGCACGGCCTTGGCCTGTCGAAGAACTTGCTCGTTTGCAAGGTCTCTCCCAGAAGCCATAATCGTTTTTCCGTCCTTGATGATAATGAAGCTGGGGAAGCCCCCATGATGCCTCTTTCTTCAGAACAAAATGATCAGTTCCTGGTATTTGTGGAATTTGTGGAGTGTTGCTGGTGAGACTAGGATCGTCACCAGAAGAAACCACATCTTTGCTTCTACCGATTCCCCAGGCCAAGCGGCCAAACCTCTCCTCATTCGATGACCAGTAATGTAGACTCTTGATTAGTCACCCCCCAGTTTGAATTGAACATCCTCTTCATAGGGGGTTTATGGTCCTGAAGAGTCTAAATTATACTGCACGTGATCATCGTTGACAAAGTTCCACGGATGATCCTGATCGCTCCGATCGCTGGTGACCACAGTGTCTGGCGTGACCAAGAGAGTGAGGACCTGTGGTGGCAAACAACACCGCAAACACGCGCAAACGGTAGGTGTCTGTGGAGAGTTGACATATGATCTGTTTAGGAGAAACTATGACTATAACTATAACTTTATAAAATCTATATAAATTGACCTGCTGCTCTTCCATCAGACCTGCTCACAGAACCCTTGTACCAGCGCCCCAGCTACCCGGACGCAGCTGGCAGCAAATACGTCCAGTTTTGGACATGCGGGCCACCCACACAGAACTGGCCTGCTTGAGTAGGGAGGCCACAGCTCCAGAGCTGCTCTGAAGAAGCGTCATATACCTTGGTCCACGGGCCGACGCCCCAGACATCATCCGACCATGCGGTTTGATTCAAGTTCAATGCACACTCCACTAAGGCACACTTCTATATGTCATGTGGAATTCCCCAAAGTATCCGCCAAAAGACACACCGTGACCACCTCTCAAGCTGTGACCGCCACCCCTGAATCACTTCACCCAACTAAGTGTTGTTTGCCGAAATAATGTTGGCCCGCTAGTGAGACCGCTATCTTTCCAATTGGCAGTGGACACACCGAGTTTTTCAGCGATGCATGTTCAAGTGACAAACATGGTTTCAATATGATTGAAAGTTTGCATCCTCCCAAACACTCTCAGGCCCTCTGCTTCGCCCTTGGTGTTGTCCAGCTTAGGAAGGACCCTTGTAAATTTGCAATCGACGAACAAGGACTCTGGACCCACAAACCTCTTCGCCAGCTCCAGGACCCGCACTTCTCTTGGCCTCGTGGACGCACCTACCAACCATCCCGGCGCGCGGAAAATCCCCAAAAACCCTGAGAAACAAATAACACAAATACATATACATATACCTGGAGTCTCCTCCGGCCTTTTTTTTGCGTATTTAGAAAAGGACTTTTTTAAAAGGCCAAATTGAGCCATGCTGAAAACCTTGATAGATTCCTATGTCGTAAGAACTGCCTTACGCGAAAACTTACGCAGCGCTTACGCGACCGCAGTTTCAGCTTACGCGGGGGTGTTGCTTACGCCGCTGCTTACGCCACCTTACGCCATTGCAGGCTTTGCTTACGCAGCATCGATATGACATAACCTGGAAATGTCTGGCTTACGCCAAAGCTTACGCAGAGCTTACGCGACCGCAGTTTTAGCTTACGCGGGGGGAGGTTTTCAGCGTGGCTCAATTGTGAAAAGAAAAGGAGTAACCTGTCAGAAAAGGTACCTGATACATGGATCATGGTTGTTGATGGTAACCTGCAGATGGCCCACTCGGCCTTAGTTTCCTCGATTCTGTACACTCTGAATCCCACACTGGTGATTCTGTACACTCTGAATCCCACAAGACCGGCGCCAGGGACCGCACACGTTTTGCCATTGCCAAACCCAACCACTAGAAAGCATGGGGGCTTCCAGCCACAAAACCTATAGCAGAGACACGCGCCGAGAGTCAGATGCATGCTCCATGCAAGCAAGTGTTCATGTACTATACATTCATCAGCCATTCCCTTGAACCATCCACCCCGCACATTAGAAGACCATTTCGTAGACCAACAGGGAACTCAATCTATCCAAGTTTGAGGCTTGACCGGGGCACCCAACCTTCCAAAACCCCCAAAAAGTAGCAAAATTTAAAAAACGCGCGGACGGGGGTCGGACGGGTCGGACGCATCCGCTTCGGTCGCCGAAATACACGTTTCGGTCGTGGAAAATACGTTTCTCGGACGCACCCGGTTTGGGTTGGAAACAAAAAGGTCCTCGGACACTCAAAAACGCGTTTGCCCTTCCCACACAAGTGGCCAGAAGAAGACAAACCGTGGTTGCCACAGTCCGGTTCAACCCACAAATCACCGTTTGCAATGTGGCATTCATGCATGGTCATTGACCGAGAGAACGCAAATCTCGTGACTTGAGCACTGAGATGCACTGAGGCAATACGAGAGAGAGGGAGAGAGGAGATCAATTGCACACTGCACAACAATGATCAATAAACACTGCACTGCACATGAGAGAAGAGTGTGAGAGAGAGAGAGAGGAGGGCGCACCTCCTCCACGGCACCACGGGGACCACAAGCATGGGCTTCGTGTTTGAGCCACCGCTCGTGACACACTGAAATCTCTCATGGAGTCTCCCTGAGGTCTTTATTTTGGGCCAGGCAACTATATTGTAAAAAGGTCCTCAACAACATAAAAAGGTCCTAAACATTTGTTTAAGGCCCGGCCTAAAATAAGAGTCCTCAGGGAGACTCCAGGTATATATATATATAAATACTATATATAATATGAACCATGTCCACTTTTTAGACGAAAAATAGGAGTTGAACATTTGCACGATGTTCCACTGCTGCAGCGACCGTCCAAGATGCACATCAGCCGGATTGGCTTGTTGGACCTTTTGCAGCATTTCTACCCCAGCGCCACCGCATTTGGTCTCGCTTGCCCACCGATAGAACGGTTGAAAACACCAGGCCGCCGCCGGGGGTGATCAAGCTTCTGGGGACCTTGAACACCAACATCGAAACAAGGCGAATCATCGCAAATCACGCGAATCACCGTGGAGCTCTTGCGACTTCATTTGGCACTGCATGGCACTTGCATCATGTTCAGCTCTCGTTACCCTGGTGAGTGGCTTTATCCCGGTGTTGGTTGGTTCCCCGGCACATGTCTTGCGAGCAAGGATGACACCGGGGGTTCATGACTTGCGTGGCCTCGGGGCCCTGCCGGGAGAACTGCCTTGGTAATTAGAAGTGCTGCTAAAGCTAGAAAACACGTTTGTTTTTTTAATCGACAGGCTGCCACAGTCAAAACATGTCCAGCATGATGCACTCAGTGCTGGAAGCCTCTCGCCTATATATAATTATGTATTATTATTGATATAAACTAAAATGTATATCATAACATATGTTGTATATAATTTCATGTAGTTTATCACGATTATCACCAAGCTATGGCCGCTAGGGTTCTGAGATATTCAGAGTTTTGCCCCTTGCTACTGTGATTGTAGGACGACGCACTTCAAATTTGAAGTCTAAATGAACTGGAAGGTGTGGAGGTGGAGGGTCAGCAAAATTTGCAAAGGTTTCTGGGTTTTCATTACTTCCTAATGGGCCACCACCATTCCACGCAACGTCCACAAATAGCCCCGAGTTCCACGAATGTCCCTCCTTTTGCCTCTAAAAAGTGGCTGCCAGAATCGACTTTGCTGAGCCATTCGCCGTTGTTGGCACACAACACAAAAAAGAACTTGAAGACAAACACAAGGCTCCCGGGTATTCTTCACACTGGGGTGTTCAACTCAGACCCGCTAGTGTCACTGCTCACTGCAGGAAACCATTCCGTACGTACTCAACTTGAGTACATAAAAGGAATCACTGAGTGTCCCAAAGTTCAAGCCCTTTTTCTGGTGCAATTGAAAGCCCAAAGTCCCTTTTGACACCCCTCACATTCTAAGCAAATATGTGTGGGTCACAACCGGTGATTGAAGATTTGTGTGGCATCTCTTTTGGTGCAAAGCCACAGCAACAACAACAGCAACAACAACAACAACCACCACCAACAACAACAACCACCAACAGCAGCAACAACAACAGCAACAGGAACAGGAACAGGAACAACACCAACAGCTCCACCACCACCACCACCACCAACAACAACAACAGCAGCAGCAACAACAGCAACACGAACAGCAACAGTAACATGTGGGACTACTCCTGCTTGGAGTGTAAAGAATATCATCGCCCATCCACGTCCAGTACGACATCCACTCGACTGGCATCCGAGTCGCACCCGACAGGTGACCTACCTTCGTCAGGACACACTCAATTGCTGAAATACAACTCATCGAAGCTCTTCATCGGCATCTCGCCTTGATGGACTCCCAGCTCGAGTTCACCGAGTTGTGATAGCCGTTGCTCATGCTTCGGACCTGGTGGAAAACAACAAATCCCTCCGGATGCACAGGCAGGTTGTGGCTAGAGGTAGTTGGCTAGTAGTAGCTAGGTAACTAGTAGCTTAAGTAGCTACTAGATGCTACTAGTATGGACGCAGGATACCTCACGCTTCTTCCAGGAAGCTCCCCCGCCGCCCTAAAGGTGGCGGGGGAAGCTTCCTTGAAGAAGCGCTCGCACTTATGATTTGGTTCCTAGATTTTTAGGGACACTTAACTCAAATACGCAGGATATGAATCTGCGTTGCAAGGCTTGTCCATCGCAACCAGGTATCGACAAAGTTACTGCGCAATGGATGAACAACTTCCTTGGTATCGACGGTATCGACATCAATAGGGCCACACGGGACTTCAATGACTCAAGTTTGGTGGCCAATGACTCATGTTTTGTCTCGTGGCCTTGGTCCCAAAGGCCTGTCACCACAGGGGGGGTCAACTGATTACGGTCCAATGATGTCCAATGTATCCCATGTGTCTTGGATCCACCCCTAACACTGGATCCCACACCTTCCAAAAAAAAAGTGCATCCTGGGTCCTGGGCATACAAACAAACAAACTTCTCTGCCAGTCTACCACTGCCCCTGCAGTGAGCGCCCATGTGACTTCCTTCTTTTTATATTTCAGTCATGCCAAACCAGAAAGCCGCGGAACTCTGGGAACCTCCCTGTTGCTCAGTCTCCCCACGCCCATCGATGCGTGGATCAAGGCATGGGTCAAGGAGTCCTTGCGCGAAGAGCAGCTAGCTTCTTGCTCCTAGTAGCGATGCCCTTGTTACTAGTAGCGATGCCAGGAGCCCCTAGTAGCGTTCTTGCTCCTAGTAGCGATGCCCCTTGCGCCTATATGTTTGCGCGGCCTGAGGCTCAAAGGTTGAAAGATCGGTGTTCCTTGCGTCTCAGCTACCAAACATCTTACAACTGTAATGTTCTGTTGGGAACAGAACGAGAGACTCCAACAATACTCAACAAGACACCATAATATAATCGTACTTGGGCTCAACATCAAGGTAAACTGTACCTCAGGCCTCCACCAAAAACACAAGACAAACACTTGGTTGCTCAATCCTCAGCCAACTACTCTGGGCTCGCCCGAACTTGCCCAAACGACCCTGTGACCCTAGAATCCACAACAGTCCTCCTGCACAGGACTGCGCCAAAGATGCGATGGAAGAGATGACATCTGGCCGGACTGTCGAACATGACATGCTTTCCAGCTCATACTGAGTTAGATTTCTTGCGGAGGTGTTCAACTGGATAGTTTCACAAATACCTTTTCAAAGGCCTGCAGCATAATCTTCTCTCAGCCAGCGACTCTCCCAAAAATCATTGAACTAAAGTGTCTGTTTCAGTTGACCAACACCAACATATCAAAAATATACGCGATGAGCAACATAACCGCTCAAACAGTAAGCGCCAGGTGTCCCGCTGATGTTGTTCATGTGTCCGGGTTGCAAGTCACGAAAACAGGGTTTGGATAAATCTATGTTTTTTTTGGTTCCCCACACCTGATTTCGAGGTCAACATATAACACAAAAGGCTATCTGGGACACAGACCTCACACGAAGCATGACAGGAAGCTGTTTGGATGTGCATGTTTATACCAAACAAGAACTTCTAGTAACTGTGGTCAGCAAGTCCCAAAGTTTCTTATTGAAGGACCCAAATCAAACGTAAACTATATGTTCCAGTTCGGGCCACTTGCATCTTCTTGTTATAAAAATGATGTGCCCATCCAAGTTAGATGAGTGTTTGGGACATGGAGAGTTTCTACAGTATCTAGAAAGCCCTAGTGACCAAGTTGTCAACCAAGAAAAAACACAATTCTTGGAAGTCCAAGGCCTCTGGAATCTGGTATGCCATGGATGCTCTGTTCTTGACAGACCGGAAGTTGTGGCATATTGAGATGTTTCCCATTGTTTCCCATCAACGTGAAGGAAGGTGGGTGGCAGGTGGAAACAAGCCTGAAGGGATGACCGGAATCACCCGAGCCTTTTGTTTCTGTCAGCGGGTGGGGTGGAAAAGTGAAGGAGTCGCCTAAGAGGATGGGATTTGGTACTGTCGGATGGCTTACCGTCCTATCTTCACCAAATTCTGAATCGTCTGAATTGATCAGCTGCTGCTCTGTAGCACTTAAGAACACGTGGCTGCAGCCATCGAGCGGTTCAGCTTCTCCTTCAAGGCACACCAACATCGCCTGTGGTGCGAAGTGCATCCCGTCCACAGCACGGGCACTCCACGGTGCGCCATTGAGCAAGTGAACGTCCCTGAGGGTTCATGAATTTGGGTGACCGCAACGGGGTTGTCAGCTCATGCTCCGCTAGCAGTAGGAGGAGGAGGAGGAGTAGGAATAGGAATAGCGCAAGTAGCAGCAGTACCAGCAGTACAAGCATTGGCAGCGGTAGCAGGAGCAGTAGGAGTAGAAGTAAGAGTAGGAGTAGGAGGAGTAGAAGTAGCAGTAGGAGTAGGAGCAAGCTCTCTCAAGTCCTGAAAAGGATCAATCTATTTTTTCTGATGGGAAGCGTTGTCCATGCCAGTCATGCACAGGCTGTTCAAATGCCTTGAATGGCTAGTTCAAATCACTGTCGCTCTCCTCCTGTGCAAGAGGTCAAGCCTTAGGTCTTAGGTGGAGTTGTAGGCTGCATTGGCATTGGGGGCGCAATGCGTGGCATCATTTTCGGCATTGGGGCGAAATGGCCATTCCTGGTGCTGGAGGCACAGGCATCATGGACCTGGGTAAATGGTGATCACTGCAGGTGCAGATGCAGTTTCTGGCAGCATGCAAGGAACTGCACAATAAACCGTGTAGCATCATCCACATTCACTGCATTCACACCACTGGATGCTGATGAAGAAGCAGCTCCAGCTGCAGCCTTTGCACCATCTACAGCTCCTCCATCTGCAGTGACAGGCTTTGCACCTCCATCTGCAGTTCCACTAGAGGTCAAAGGCCAAAGGTCTTCAGTCTTTTTACCTTTACCAGCTGCAACTCCATTTGTTCCGCTTTTTGCCGAAGGACCACATTTTCTGCCATTCCAGGAATTCTCCACTCTTACGTGGTACCCTTGCTTCAATGTGCTCATCCTTGCCAGTCTCGCTTTTTGAAGTCTGGCTCCAGAAGGTTTCCCATCAGATTGGCTCATTGACCACATCTACTCCAGGATGATTGTACTGTACAGTATACCGTATTCCATAGTATACCTATTGTACTGTCCATGCGCAGGTACTTGGGAGTCATGGCTCGGTGTAAAAGGTGACATGACATGACCATGTTTTGGGGCCAAATTGGCTCTTGCCGTTTCTAGCTACATATTCAATACAGCATTCAACCTCTATACCCTCAACATCACGAGACCAGTAGCAAGGCTGCCGGCTGCAAACCATCCTTATTAAACAAATAAACATCTGCGACGTCCTGGGGCCAAGAAAAAAGACAGCTGAGTAATGAGTAACTTGAGTAACAACAGCAACTAGATGTTCAGAGTCTCCAGCTCTATTTTTTTTTCTGCCAAAACCAGCATCCAATTGGCAATGAAACGGCATGACAGGAACATGTGAGTCTTTGGTTGCTCCCAACTCTATCTCCTCCAACAACTATGAAACACACGTTTGAGCAATCGAATCTCGCAAGTGAAAACCATAAGGAAAAAAAAGAACAAGAAACACATCATCTTTGGACATGTTTCCCAAAGACCCGACAAATTGGATTGTGACGACCAAATGATGAGTCTAAATCAGCCACCCCTGGTCCACACAGGAAAGCACCTCAGTTGCCCGGCAGGAAAGCTCGGCCCTGAGTTGCGCCACCTGGCACAGGATCTCTGGTTGCCACACGAGAGGAAAACCATGTGGAGCTGTGCGTGATGTCTGGGGATGGGTCAAAATTGTGTTTGGGCCATTGGTTCTCGGGGATGAACGATGAGCAAATGAGCATGTGTGAACACGACTTCATGCATGAATGACTCCACAATATGTAGCACCAATGACCTTGCAGCTGTACAAAAGCCAGATTCAGCTACTAGGGCACCCGGAGCAAAGCCTAGTAGCAGATGTGTTGGGTCGGTAGGCATGTGTTGGTCGATGGAAGCGTCCCGGCGGTCAGGTCATTCGACGGATTCATATATACTCATATTATATATATATATATTAAACTATGACATATCACAATTAAAACCCAAAGAGGATCCCTTTCATGTGTTGTGGAGGATTCAACCACAAGGGATGTTCCAAGGAACTGTGATGGATTTGTTGCAGTTGAGGGACCTTGTGGGACCTTCGATGATTTTCAGGGACACGTCCAAACATCGCACAAAAGCAAAGCCAAAAACATGAACGAAACATTTGGCCACTTCGGGATGATCTCCGGAAATTTGATGTTTGTTCTTTATATATAAACCTGATGCACAACTGCACAAAACACGATTGATTCAGGAACTCACCGGTCCATCACCGGATCATGTGGACATTGTGAACCATCGTGCGTGTCTTTTCCGTGTGATTCTTGGCACCCATCAACCCCTTCACCGTCAGATGTCGCCTCCCGCCGGGACTCGGAGATCTCCGCCTGCAGCGTGACTGGGCGTATGCGGAGGGGGTCCCCATGCATGTGTGCATGTATGCGGAGGTCTTTTTTGGGGGGTTGTTGAACCCTGGTGGGTAAAAGGACTTGCGTTCAAAACCCATTTAGAGGTGACATGATGTGAATTGTCCTTGTAACCATCACTTATTTAAAAAAAAGAAACATCCATGGATTTCAGGCCAGGCGAAGCATCACCATGGTCATCAAACTTTGGTGCTGCTTCGCGCAATACAACGATTGTGGATCCCCAGGTTTTCCCGCGGAATGTCTCATGTCTCTGTGAAGAAAATATCCCAGTACCACAAGAATCCCCAGCTTGCAGCAAAAGGGCGACATGACCACGAATCCATCTGCGGCCCATGTTGCTGCAGCTTTCTGGCAGTCAGATGCAGCTAAGACAAACCAAATAAACTGTTCTATTCTGCAGTTGTCACTGGTGGCCACGATGACGTCACGAGCACTATGGGAGCACGTCGTGGCAGGTTCTGACTGCCAATCTCCCGTGACTTGATACGGTTGCAAGCATTATAGGACTGGGACTGCCACTGCGGACGCCAATGCTGCGGTGCCAGCAGCTTTCTCCTTGAAAGGGGAGAAAGTTCTGCTTCCCCCCCGACTAGGGGTCCACTAATATGTTGCTGATTGATGCTGATTGTAGGCGAGTTGTGGTCGTGACACGTCTGCACTGGCTTGGATCTTTTTCAAACAGCATCGGTCGGATTCCTTATCGGGAAGCACCAGGAATGGAGTCCAGGGAAAGTTTTGGTTGAAACAAGTGGTGGCGTCCCTCTACTGAGAAAAAAGGGCATCGCTACTAGGAGCAAGAAGCTACTAGCTACATCTCTCACAGGGCAGCCTGGGCGGCCAGGGCAGCCAGGGTCGCACTGCGTCGGTGATGACAATTGTTTTTGAGGGTTGATGGACTGGGTGATGGAAATGGGCCAATAGCCAATACCCGTTGGGGATCTCTATCTAAAAGAGTACAAACCCATTGATCCAACTCCACAAAAATTCCACCCATGCCCCACCTGTGCAAGGAGCTGTGCTTGCACCTCCGGGGAGGCTGTCCATCCGCACATTCATGGGCGCCCAAGGGAAATGATGAACCATCTGAACAAAGTGTATCCAGGCTGGCCGCCATACCCCAACAAAAATGTTTGGTAATAAGGCATGTCATCCTACATGTGCAAAACATATACATCTATTTTTATACGGTAACTATATATACTGTATATACATTCCTTCCCTGCTCTGCAACAAAAATGGAAGTGGACAGTGGTCCCTGGAAATCCCGTGTGTTCGTAAGTGGCATGTGTCCCAACCCTCAGATGGTCGCATCCAAATGAACATGTTTGAACACCGACACCTGCGTTTGGTTCTTGAAGTAGTCACCATCGTACGCTGCTCCCCGCGTGCAAGTGGTACAGGAGTGCTTCGTTCACTTGGCAAACATCAGCTCAAAAATGCAGGTCGGTCAGTACTATCAATGTATTATATAGTCATAGTATGTCATAGTCTATTCTTGTCGCGACTCGCGGCATGGCAAAACGTGTTCAATCCCGCTCTGTTTCCCTTTGTAAGCATTCATTGGAACCCGTGTCATGACCATACTTCATTGAACATGGCTACGTGCTACTGTGCCAGGAAGGTTGTGGGGAAGTGAGAACAACCTGGGTGGGCCAAGCCTAACAACACCAATATCAAACTAACAATACCATCTGCCACCGTGCCTCCGCCTACAAGAACATGCCACTAAGAGCCCATACACCCATGGGGCCCATACCTTCTTCACCCAGGACGCTCGACCCCTCGCGGTGCAGCGCATCGCCTCAGCACAGCGCATGGCCTCGCGTGCAGCGCAAGCCTCCTGAAGGCGGTTTGGGGCGGTTGTAGATGGTTGGAGTCCCAACAGTCGACAGAGCACTGTAGGGTGGTGTCGTTTCGCTGATTGACCTTCCTGCGGTGGAACAGTATGTTTGTTTTCCACCATTTTTTTCGATATAGGAGTGTAGAAATAGATAGAACATGAAACATACTGTTCCACCGACTTGATGTAGCTCTAAGGCGGCACAGTGACATATATAATTGTTCGTCTCTTGAGTCATATGTCACTGGACAGGACTGTGCATATTAAAACATGATGAATATTGGTTCAGGTTCATGCATGTTCATGCTACCTTGGCGAGAGTTTTAGTTGTGTTTATGTGTTTATACATATATATATACATATACTATATACATAATGTTACATACTCACCTCTCTCACTTACACCTTTCAAAACCGACAAGAGGTTTCCTCACCCCTGCAGTGTTTCTTGCGACAGTTCACACTCGATCGCCATACTGCAGCGGTTCACCCAACGAATGGGAGTTCGAACGAAGAACGAAGCGGGTTTGCTGCGCCGAAGATTCATTAAAGGTCAGGTCGTTCATGTTTCAGCAAACAAGTGAGGTCAGCGGGACGACAACAACAACCAAAAACTACTACTACTACTACTACTACTATTACTACTACTACTACTACCACCACTACTACTACTACTACTACGACTACTACGACTACTACGACTACTACTACTACTACTACTACTACGACTACTACTACTACTACTACTACTACTACTACTACTACGAATACGAATAAACACAATACAATGTTGATAAAAAAAAGGTTGCAGAAATGAAATACCTCATTGTTTCAATTGTTTCAATAGGTTTTTCATACAGCCACCAAACACAAGTGATGCATTGCATTGGTGTTTCGATGTGTTTGTCTCATCTTTTCCGCAATCTGGTTAAAACATTGTGAAACAATGTGAAACATCTGTTTTGTGCTTTGAGGACTGACATGTCTTTGCCAAACTGGGCTGCCTAGCGGCAAGTGGCATCTGAAGAAACAAGCAAAAACGTGACCAAACAATCCGCGCCATGAGAGAAAAACCTAACTAATCATCTCCCACGTTCTCTGAACCTATTGGACTTCAGTTCAAAACTTGGGCACAAAGCAAAGGGACCAAATAGCACACGAAACATTGTCCCTTTCGATGCTGAAACCTAGAGTCCTTCAGTGTCCCTCTCCTCGAAGGCTTTCCTACCGGACACGATCCTCACACGCGCAGGCCAAGTGAAACCAGCCAAGTAGTCATGAACACAACTTGCCCGACCCCTGCACTCTGGAGCCAGTCAATGAGGTGCTCAATTTCACTGTTGAAAACGCCGTGGATTAGCAAGCAGTGCATCCAGTCCCAGCACGTGGCGTGACTCGGTCAGTGTTCATGTAGGTTTTGAAGTTGTGTTTTTGAACTGTGTCTTTGAGAGAGCCGATCAACTGCTTCGTAGATGTTGATGCTGCTGTCTGTCGCCAAAATGGCTCTTGACAGGTCTGTCATGCAGCTCGGCACAATGGGCCAACATTACTTTTCACTTCCCACAGTCACAGCTGTTTCATGGCACCCATGCCACTCACAATAGCCAGCGAACTCAATATGAACTGGCGATACCAGTGCTGTGATCAGCTGCGGTTGTAGGCAGCCTTAAAAAAACAGCGCGGCCACTTCTTTAAAGAGCGCAAAGGTCCCACCTTTGACATGAGAAGACATCTCCGGAAGTACTTGAAGTCATAACTCTTCCTGTCCGAGGAAACTTCCCTCAAACTCCAGTACACGGCCTGTATTTTCCTGTTGTTGATTGGTGTGGATGTAAAGAAGCAGGTTCTGGTCGCCGGCAGATCAACCTGGCCTGATCGTCTCTTGCCTTCTGGTCAACCCTCGTGCACAAAGTGGCCCATGTTGCCGCCCTCGGTGCTTCCCAAAAATGCCGAGCGCCCAGCTCAACCATGCTTAACCATTTTTCCCCACCTGTCAGGTGCGGGTTGTTAGATTGTAAAAGAGGAACCCGCCTCTGTCTCTGTCTTCTGACCTGAACTGCAAGCTCGAGATCGTAGTGGGCCCTCCCGGACCTCAACAGCAGCGGACCTCAATTGCAAGCTCCAGATCGCAGTGGGCACTCTCGGACCTCCATTACTCTACTTCGAGCACAAACCAGACTTGATGACAGAACAAGCGGCAGAACATTGTGTCAATCCGTAGTAGTCTGTCATTACATGGGCCCTGCCTATGTAACCCTTGTTGTGCACCAATCACTTCTTGTTTGAACAGGAGCTGCTTTGGAAGCCAATAGATGAGGTTCTGCACTGGCCAAAGATGAGGGCAGGTCCTGGACGCTGTCAAAATAGGATGGGCAAAGGACAGTTCCTTTAGCATCCTCTAGCCTATACCCAGACTATCCGGTAGTATCTGGTGGTGTCATTTGGCTAGCAATAATTTCAGGGAGTAGTTTGACGCTCGTGATCGTCGAGCAGGTCCTGTGTCTCTTCACTTTTGCAGCGCACCATTGCCAGTTGTTCCTCTGCACCGGGAGAAGAACATCCGGTGCAGCAAAAAAGAACGAGGCAAGATAACTTTAAGCAGGATCGACCGATTAAATAGCAGAACATTGGTGTTCAATAGCTGTCAACCAAATGTTACTTCAGGACCTACAGAATGTCCCTGTAGTTCAAGGGCGCCTTAAACGCCCGACAGGGCGTCTGATCAAACACTTCTACATCACATCCCAGGCGAAATCCTGGCCTCCAATCTGGCTCGCTCCATCCTGCCGAGCGATTCGAACTCCGTTTTCGGAGTTCAGAGGCCCCAAAATCCGGGCACCACTGGACAAGATGAAGTTTTTTGTTGTCGCCCCAACTTGAGAAGGTATCCTCTTCAGTTCTTTTCTGGTGGGCCGTTGATGAAGTTCATTGGACCCACAGCCCTGTGCGGCGACCTGTAAATCCCGATGGAGAGTGCATGTGGAAGCATCAACTTCCCCAAAGAAGTCACTCAAACACTCCTTGTACAGAATCCCCTTTGTTGAGTTGGTTTGAGCGATCACCGTGCAGTCGGTGTAATATACTCCGTACACGAAGCATTTGGGTCAGGTTCGATCGTCATAGAGATACGACACCAGTATGACAATGCAAACTTGTACGGACCAAACCGAATCAATAAACTCTGGAGCAAATCGCCTAGTGTGCCCTTCCTGGCCTGCCTTGCTTTGCTTGTCGGATGGTGCCTGTTTGTCACACATATTGTATAATTATGTCTATGACATATATATATATAATATGTACATATATGTACTGTATGTATACATTTGTCTGTATATCGGACCGTCTCTTGGAAGCCTCACTGTTCAGCTGCTAGAGCCAGAGCTCTGCAATAGGTTTGAAGAAGTCTGGCGCCTCTGGGTTTCGATGAGGGCCTCTTGGGCAGCCGCCTTGGACTTCTGGATGATCGCCTGGGACGCGAAGAAGAGATCGACCGTGGAAGAGAAGAGATTTCTGGTGCTTTCACATACACACACACACACTCTTAGCACAAGCTCAAAGAGAGTCAGGTACACGGTTGTTGGAACTCAATTGCACAGTATTTTTGAGATTTCGATAGATTTCGCTTTGGGTCAAAACTAGGAGTCCGTGGTTGACCTACCGACGTCACTTGCGCATCCAGTCTGGCGCTTCCCTCGGTCCTTCACCAATGGTGGGTACCAGGGAGTCTGGGTATGTAACCACTCTACATGCAACACATCTGTACAAAATGACATGATCCTAACTACGTGACACCGAAAATCCGCGCAGCAAGCAGGTGATCAGAAGTCAAAGAAACATGTCGAATTGGCAAGCAATCCAATTTGGTGCCGGTGGGATCGGAACAGTATCAAGATCCAAAGGTACGAGCTCGTGCCTTCCGAAGATCACCTGGAAGGTCACGCTATATGAACCAGGGCTCCAGCCTTTGACCCATCCCCATTTCAACTCCTTAGAAGAAGATCTGAAATACTAGACCCTGTTTTTGCGGATGATGTGAAACATCGGAGACCGCGGCCCGGTAGATCCTGGTGTGCATGGTTTTGAAGGTGGTTTTGACACATAGCCGTGCGAGTCCAATTCACCTTATATTGTGGAAAGCACACCAGAAGATTGCACTTGCTTTGTGGGCATCATGCGCAGCAAAAACGCAAAAAGCATGGCAGCAAAAACGTGTGGGCATGCAGTTGTCCAAGGCTGCTGGTTGATACTCAGAAGCTCCAAAGACATGTTGATGCTGTTGGTGCACCAGTGTACAAAGTTTCCCATTTTTCGCAAGTAGAAAAACACAACACGTAGTGAGTAAATCGCTTCCACCCTCACGAAGTGCCCGACCCTCCATCAGACCCTTGGAGCCACCAGTTCTGCTTTAAAGGAAGAAGCCGTTGAGCGGAACGGACAAAGGTGACGTACTGTATTCATGGACTAGTCGGAGTTTCCACTCCATGCAAGTGCCAAACAAACAAACAAACAATATAAATCAATACAACAAATATGTCAGAACGTGAACAAAAGATTTGGGTCGTATATTGTCCCTTCCACTGAGACGGTGCCACCAGTTGGGTCACTTTCACTAATCGAAATTGGTCAGGTTGCGAACAGCATCCACAAGCAGGGGAGTCAATGACCAGTTGAACCTGTTATTCTTATCCTTGTATTCCCCCACTTCATCCACTGGATTTGACCTACTCCCAGTTGCTGCTTGCCTCAGCATCCAGCTGCTGCTGCGCCTCCCGAAGCTCCTGGCGATGATGGGAATCACTTTCATCACTTGTATATGTGCAAACAAACATCTCTGCTTTTTTGAGGAATGAAGCAAAAGAACTTGTGGGCTGAATGGAGGTCTGCGAAGGACTTCCTTCTGGAAGGATCTGTTTCTCTTTGAAGTCTGAACATTGGGTAAGCAACTTCTTAGACATATGTATTAACATATTACATAAAATATACGATTGCTAACAATAAGTTAAAACAAACAAAAACATACATGATACATATATATATATATAATGACTACAAACATATGTCCTCGGTAAGTGGAGAGACCTTGGTGGACCGACCATCGCGTTGTGCCTCTTGCAATCTTTGGCAAGCGAACCTGGGCCGAGCAAAACCCAACATAACACCCTCTTCCAACGGTAGATGCGCGGAGGATAAACACCCAAGAAGAACTCTCAGCACCCAGTTTTCGCAAGGTATTGCAAGTCTCTCATCTGTCTCGAATGCTCTTTTACTCAGCACAGTATATAATTGAAAAGAAGTCGCAAGAAGTCAACCTCTCCTGCTGATGCCTGCAAACCCATCCCAAATCCGATCAGCGAGTGGCTGACAGAACTTCCCCAACCCAAAATACCGTATAACAACAGAGTATACATTCATCATAAGTAAACAAAGGCCAATCAACAACCACTCGACTCTTCCTGGGTCTCTTCAGAAACTTCACTGGTTTGCTTCTCTGAACTTGGGAACCTGCTGGCCCCGAGATAGTTGTATCACTTTCCCCATCGTCCCGATCTATCACTTCCCCATCGCCCGACGAAGGCGCGGTCCACCATGCCGACGAAGGCGCTTCTCAGAGGCAGCGTCCCGCTCAGCCTGGCTCGCGCGGCGGAAGGCCTCTTTCACCTGGGCGGCGCGAGTTGGGCGCCACCGTGGTCGGGAAGGTCAGGTCGGACATCTGATCTGCTTGGTTCAGCTCGGGCCGCATGGCCCAAGTGAAATAGAATGATCATAAATGTGTCTAGGCAGTCCAAAAGCAACCTCGGTTAAACACCGTCACTGGCAGATCATGCCATCATCACCATGCGATGGCATGCATTGGATGGCCTTGGAAAGAAAAGGCTGAAATTGGGTTTCCAATCGGCTCCAATGGGGTGCACGATTTCCAGCTCCTCAGCTCCTCCCGGAAATCGATCCGCCCGGGCCTTCCCGTCTTGCGAGCTGCGCTCGCTGTTGTGCTGCACGGATGCCTCCATGGGGCTCAAATATGCCGGCACGGAAACGAACACACCATGGCCAAGCACAGAACGCCTGAAGATTCTCTTGAGACCAAACGTGTTGGAAGAAAATCAACACCTGAATTGCTTGCAATTCTTGGCAAGGGGTCCATTCTCAGCAGCATCTTCAGTTTTGAGATGCACAGGCTCACAAGTGCCCTCACTAAACTAGATTCTGTGTGACACCTGTGATAGCAGGCACGCACTGTGGCCAATGCTGCACTTTTGCAAGGTACAACATGCATGTATATATATATATATGGGAGTTGATCTAAATTCCTTTATCCGGGATCCGTCATTTTCGCCAAAAAAAAATTACTTTCGCCAAACTTTCGCCTTCCTGCGTTTTATCTTTCGCCGAAGTACGTTGTATTTATGTGTGCCATGTATGTTGTGTTTTGTTCACGTCAATGGCTTCTTCTTTACTGGCAAACACAAAATAGAAATTTCACTGTTTGTCAGCATGTGTCTTCTACTTAACTGTTGACACCCTGTACGTCTCTTTTGTTTCTCCTGGGTGTCAGCAAGAGTCAAAAATGCAAGAATCACTGAAGTAGCCGGTCACCGAAACTTATTCATAATGGGCTGGGGGTCAGATGTGGCAGGGTGAACTTTCGCCAATCTTGAGCTGAACTTTCGCCAAACTTTCGCCTTTTGCGGGGTAGAGTTTTGTGGCAAAGCCACCCCCCAAAGCAGGAGCAGGAATAGTAGGAATAGTAGTAGTAGTAGTAGTAAGTAGTAAGTAGTAGTAAGTAGTAGTAAGTAGTAAGTAGTAGTAAGTAGTAAGTAGTAAGTAGTAAGTAGTAAGTAGTAAGTAGTAAGTAGTAAGTAGTAAGTAGTA